TTTCCAAATTTTCCATTGCACCTGAGATAGCGCTGGAACAGCTGATGGTGCGAAATTCCTAGATTGTTAAATTATAATAAGCTGTTAATCTTTCAGTATTTAATACTTGTTCAGTTAGTAATTTTTTCATATATAGCATGCTGCCTATTTGCAAATGAACTATAGAGTTCATTGCAAAGCGAATTATCTTGTTTTTTTGTATTAACAGAGTTGCCAGTTTTTACCACTTCAGTAAATTAAGGACTTTTTCACAAACAGATATGCCAATTTGTAGGTGGTTTTGCCTTCTTTCGGATGTAACTTAAGATTAGAACAGTGATACAGCAAATGTGAAGTGTAGGCGTAAGTGAACATGTTCTACAGGTGAATAATTGGGCTACATATTTTTGTTTTTTGAAAAAACATTTTGATCATATAGCTGTTGATAAGTATTACTAGTTATGCAAATAATTACATGATAAACATTTATAACTTAGAACATTTTATATAACAAAGAATAAGAATTTTTCTTAAAAATGTTTTTTTTTAATAAACAGTATTGTTTAAGCGTATTGTGTTTTGTTTATTGTTAAAATTTAAGAACTTAATTTAAAAGCAATTTTGGAAAGTTACTAGTTACGACTGCTGGTACTATAACTGTTTAAACTGTAGCCAGATGGTCAGCAAGTAAACTAAATGACTTAAAAAAACAATAGAACTATTTTTAAAATTTCAGTATGAATTCACATTCATAGAATATTATTTTACCACTTTTTAAATCTGGCAAACATAAGAAGCTTAATAGAAATAAAGCTGTTCTTTCAGTCTTCAGAGTTTATTACCAGTATTATCAGTAGGTAAATATGTATTTCTGTCTTTATCATCAAAGTATGCATACTGTTTGGTATTCTCGTTATTGTCTTGTATTTTCTCATCTGTGTTTAGGTAGTTCTCTAAGCCTTTTATCTTTTTCCTTTTATATTTTCTAATTCTTAACAATCTATATAAGCAAGTATGTTTTTAATCACATATCATGATCACTAAATAATCATCTCCTTCACCCATTTTAAATGAGCAGGGCATAAAATGTTTCTGTGGATGATTGTATTTTCTGAAGATGGCCATAAAATTTCTCTTATCACTTTTGATTCTTCCATAAAGTGGTGGAAATGTAGAAATCTACATTCTCTTCCATCATAACTGCCTTAACTAACCCAGTGTAGGAGAAATGGGCCTGCCATGTAGCAGGAAATATGATACGCACCTTTCGCTCTTTCTATTTGCCTTTGGAACCCAGCAACCACCATGAAGGGAGAAAGCCTGGACCACATGGTGAGTCCACATGAAGAGTTCCCATGGACAGGTTCTGCTGAGACTCTCACTGCTAACTAGTGTCAGCCTGGATATGGGAATAAACAAGCCTTCCCACCAGAGTTAGCCACAGAACATTCTCTGATCAGGAAAATGGCCTGCATCTACCCTGTCCAGTTTGGCCACACACCACCAGGAGGTTACTGAGCAATTATAACACAGCTAGTACAAATGAGAAGGTAAAGTTTTGGTTTTACTTAGCATTAATTTAAATAATCAAATGTGTCTAATGGCTGCCCCCCTAAGCAATTTGTCTTCAAAGGGTTATTACCGTGGGTGATGGGGCTCCTCCTGGATGGTTTCTTAGATTCTTATATGTGATGAACAAAGAACTGGATGTGGCATGTAATGGTAAGGAAAAGGCAGTGAAGTTTTAAACAGGCAACAGTGTGCCCAGAGTGAACAGGCTTGTGCTGGTAGAAAAGAATGGCACAAGAATGGCTGAGCGCATCGAATTTAAGAATCAAAAATGTTGCCAGGTGTGGTGGCACATACCTGTAATCCCAGCACTCAGGAAGCTGAAGCAGGAGGATTGCCACAAGTTCAAGGCCTACCTGGGCAGCATAGTGAGTTCTAGAACAACCCAAACTACATAGTGAAACCCCCTCTCAAAGATGCAAATGAATTAAAAATGTTGTGGGGGTTTCAGATGCCTCCTGTTGGGGCTTCCGGAGCATGACTGACAATGAGATTGACAGGGTACTGAGTCTTGTCAGCTGTGGCTGTCGCACATGTCCTTTCCCATAGTCATTGCTATAATTGAGTGTACAGGGTGTAGTGCATATGCACCCGCTTAATGAGTTCCAACTGAAGAAAGGTGGCTTTGGGTTGTGCTAGCAGCTCTAGTAGCCAAGCATCCAGGTTTGGGACTTCAGAATCTTCCAGGGTGGGCCCAGGAGTCCTTGTTTCTGCATATTTACCTCTGGATAGTAGTTTGGAGGATAAAGTGTAGGGGGTGCTGACCCCAAGGCGTTGCCCAGGTTGGGGAGCAGAGTGGTCCCGCCGCACCAGTTGTACCAACTAGATTTGGGCCAAAGCCCTCAGCCACTGACTTTCAGCTGAAGCACCGGCTATCACAGAGTGAAACGCTCTTAAGTCATGACTAGTAACACATAATGATTGTCAGTTATGTGTTTTCCTCCCACTCTGGTTTTTGTTCTTCTCTACAACAAACGGGCCCAAGGGTCCTGTCTTCTAAGGCGCTGAGCATTGACTGCAGGACCCTGTGAATACTAGGCAAGTGCTCTGCCCTGGAGCTGTTCCCCAGCCCAGCTGCAGTTTTTTGCAAAGCCTTCTAGCGGCGGCTATATGCTTCCTCCCAGCCAGGCTGCTTGAGCGGCGGTCTGCACTCATCTTGCTTACTTGAATCTGAGTCACCGCTCAACACCCGTTACTCTGGTTATAAATGAGGTCACAGCAACATTAGTTCAGGCTGATTTCTCCCACTTGGAAAATGTTGGGTTTCAGCACCACACCCTGTCTTCATGTTCTCCTCTAGTTAGTCTAAGGAAAATCTGCTCTGGCAGAGAAAAGGCACCCATTCCTGGCTGAGGAATTGCAAATATCAACCAATGGAACAGGGAAAAAAACAAAAACAAAAACAAAAAAATCAACCCTCCATCTATTCCGAATGGATGAGAAAAAGACAACCTTTTAAAAGAGCAATGTCTTCCAGAGGGCTGATGTTCTCAGGCAGGGTTTGCTGCAGGGCAGGGTACCCTTTGCCCCGGGATCTACTGGCCTCCTGTGGGGCTCCAGCAGACTCACACACAGTACCTGTGTTTTTGGGCTGCCCTGAGCTTAGTCCCATGCCTTGACCTACTACATCCTACGTGATGGTCTGGGGTTCTTGCAGTGTGTGAAGCCGCCAAAGGGGGCGCCCTGCTAAGCTCCCGGGTATGGATGTTCATTTCATCTCCATGTTCTCCCTCGACTTCAGAGCCGCTGGGACCTTACCAGGGATTTGCTGGCCCGCCCCTCCCTGCCCCAGAGCTTTGCCATATTACTCACTGAATGTGGACACCAACTTGTCAGCTCCATCCTACAAAATAAAGGCCACCAAGCAAGCAGCTCTGTGGACTGCAGTCTTTGTCATCTCATCTGTGGTGGCTGGTAGGCAATCACAGGGTCTGACTAGGCCATGGAGCCATGCAGCCCTCCCCACTAACACCAGCTTCCCGTCTCTTCAGACCTTCTGCAGGACGGCTGGCAGGCCCTTCCCTCTCTCCTGGAACCCAGTCTTCCCACCAGTCCTCAAGTGTCATCTAGAGATTCAAAGGAACTTCATGACAGCAAAGTCAAACTCTAGTGATGTTTTCCCAGATTAGCCAGACAGCTGGGTGGAGAACAGCTCAGGGTGTCAGTTTCCTAAAATGGGCTACTTCTATTACAAAAAGGAGGAAACGTTCCACTACAGCAGGTCTCCAGAAGTAGGATACTTTCTGACCTTCTTTCTCTTCTGGAAAATCATGTTTATCCTTTAAGAGGCTGTGCAAATGCCTGACCTGATGGGAAAGGCTGTTGTTTTGTAGTCTCGGAAGAGCCGATGCAAAGTGAACCACACTGTGTTCAAAGACAGCCAGAGGACACCCAAGGCCCCCATTAAGATTTTATTATTTGCTGTTTATATTGTGTATACATGGTTCAACCTGTGGTATATCCCAGTCTGGGGAAAAAAGGGCCAATTTATAATGCGGGGTTCATTTATTTGGAAAATCCCAGAGTACTGCTAATGTTGCTAATAACTGAAACCAATTTTCCCAATCTCTGTCTCTGGTTACACACACACACACACACACACACACACCCTACTAATCACTAGAACACTAAATAGATATTTTAATTAGGTAATAAAATTTTGTAATTTTAGTATTACACTAGAGTTTTGCAAGAGAGAAGACAATACTATTTTTCCTGAGATGACATTCTTGGATATGACTGTCACAATTTTGTTTGGTAGAGGAAAAAAAAATACAAGAATGATTCAACTTATATATTTAATATTTTTGTCTTTTTTATAAGCAGAATATATTTACTGAGAAAAAGAAAGCTCCTGTCTGAGAGAGGGACAGGAGGGAAGCCCCGAGAAGGTGGTCTCCCTAATATTTTTGTCTTATTCAGATTTAACTACATACATCCTCAAAATCATGGAATGAGGTCAGTTTCCTTCCTCATCTGAATAAACTATCCCCCAAAATGATACTGTTGTTTACTAAAATTTAAGAAAACACACTTTAAGGATGATTTAAATTTAAAACAAAATTTGTGCTTGGATTTCTGATATAAATGTGTCATTGCAGAAAATTATGTTCAGATGGTTAATTTTGATATCTCAAGAAGTTGGCCAGTTATATACAATTATTAATTCTGCAAGTAGGATACTCTGTTCTGGAACAAAGCTAGAAGAGATTCCCTTTGCTGATCTTCCCCTTTGAGATACATGGGTGTGGTTTGTTTTCTTTTCTGTTCAGAATAAAGATAAGCAAGAGGATTATCCCTTACAAGTTAAATTTCTTGTTCTTAGTAAGAAAGTTAAGGAGGAGGGGCAAGCACCCATACAGCCTAGCTTAATTGCTTGCTGATATTAGTGCATGTATTGGATTTAATCCAGGTTAGCAAAAATAAAGGCACAGAACAGGTATATGCAGTTATTTACTTAAGCTCATAAACATTTTAATGATTACAGGTCTATTAAAAATAAGAAGGTAGAAGAAAAACAGTAAGCAGTTATGAAACAATATTTCTGATTTTTTATAAAAGGACGGTAGAGTCTCATAATAATACACCATGAACAATTCAAAATCAAACAAAGCTTGCTTGCCAGCAGTTATTTATTTTGTATTTGTATATTTTTAGGAAGTGAGAAAAAAGCCAACTCCATTGACACTCAAGTTTATTTTCAATAAGAAGCCCTAAAAATTAGAAAGTGTCTCAACGATGGTGATAACGAAAGTGTCATTTGGAAGAAAACTGATGTAGGTGGGCTTACTTCCTAGAGCACCTGAGGCCGTGATCAGCCTTGTAAGGACACTTAGTGAAATAGCTGGGCGCCCGTGTTCATGTTTTGCACAGCACCTTACGGTGTCCTGTCCTCTGAAGCGCACAGGAGGAAGAGCACATACTTGCTTTTCCTGAGTGCTGGAAACACTCCCTGTCTTGATTCCACCAATTGCTCATGTCCGGCACAATGAAAAGGACACAGCACAAGAACCAAGGCCTTGCTGCCATTGTCTTTTCTAATTAAAATTCTGAGTATTAAACACAGTTGAGTACGTCCATGCATCTGTGACATGCCGTCACCGCAGCCGGAAACCCTGATCTGGGAGCCCTAGGCAAGAGCTCACTCAGAACATCATTAAGATTCATTGTCCCTGCGCTGCTGAAAGGCTTTGTCAAAGCAGATAATAACGCCCTGTCAGGAATGTGCAAACAGAAATGTGTGTTAAATTGTTCTTTCCCTCTTTTTTTTTTTTTTTAGTATGGGAACTTAGCTTCATTCCTTGTTTAAGGGCTCAGATATTACATTAAAAGGCTTCCAAGTTCTTAATAGTGTGAAATATTACAACAACAACAACAAAAAAAGGTATTAAAGAAGGTTAGGTGAAAAATATTTGAATAACTAGGTGGGGATAGTCCTGGGAGTAGTAATCAAGCATGATGGCTATCAAAACAAAAGATGGTGCAGTTCAGGAGCGCGAAGGTGGGCAGGACAGTCGGGAGTGGAATGTTCAATCAGGCACAAGTCAAATAAAATCACTGCTTTTTTTTTCCTTGAAGACCTTCAGTACCCTCTTACATTACAATCCCTGAAAAGAAAGTTCTCTTAAAATACTTCTTTTATCCCACGAGAGACAGACATTATGCCGGCTTCCTGAATGTAGTAACAACTGCGGTGTTACTTGGGAAGCTGACAGTAGCATTTGCTTCTTCAGACTCGGTATTTTTCTTTACCATGTTCATTGATCACACATATGTGCTGAAACAATAAAAGATTTAATTGTATCAGTTTCTTTTCTTTTCTTTTTTTTTTTTTTTTCTTTTTTGCAGTACCGGGGATTGAACTCAGTTCAATTAGTTTCTTAACAAAATATGAGGGCCGGGGAGATGGCTCAGTGGAATAAGCACTTCCCCAGCGAGCACAACGGCCTGAGTTCAATCCCTGGTTTTGCAAAAAAAAAAAAACCAAAAAACAAAAAAACCCCAAACCCAACAACAACAAAAAAACCCAAAATATGAAACACAGAAAATGTGAGGCAGTAATAACAGAATGCCACCCTATAATTGGTTATTGTTCATTTAGACACATATATGCACATTTACACAAATGGCTCCTTGTACAGAAGACTAAAGCGCCTGCTTAGGCAGGTGCAGCAATGAGGTTCCGTGCTGGCCCCGGTGCACTGAGACGGTGAATAAAACTGGGCATTGTAGGTGAGCCTGTAATTCCAGCACTTGGAAGGCTGAAACAGGAGGATCACTATGAGTCTGATCTGGGTAGCCAAACCCTGTATGAAAAAAAAAAAAAAAAACGCCCCCCTTTTTTTTTTTTTTTTTTTTTTTTTTTGGTTTAAGGTCTCACTGTGTGATCCAGGTTGACCTTGAGCTCATTTTGTAGTTCAAGTTGGCCTTGAACTTGTGGCAATCCCCCTGCTTCTGCTGGGACTACCATGCCTAGCTCAAGGCTCTTTGTTATTTTAGTTTTAAGACCTATTCTGAATCTAGTTTTCCAGGCCCCTCAAAACTAGAATTGCTAGGGTACAGCATAATGGAGAAAGAAGTCTACTGGTAAAATGATCTTTGCTTGGGTGAATGGAGGAATAACAGTGAGAAATAAAGTGTGGACTCTTCCTGGGTCATTTTGGATAACAAGAAATATGTCAGGAATATTTCTTTGCAAGAAACAAAAATGGAGTTGGGCTGATAGGGGCATAAAAGGAGGATTATTGTTAGGATTCTAGGGTAGCTCAGAGAATCCAAGGAAGACATAAATAATGAAGTAACTGGAAGGTGAGAACTGGGTGGCCTCAACCCAAGGTGCTTGTGGAAGCTTTCTGGGCCATGCTTTGTAGCAATGTCCACCCCAAAGCCCTTGGTCTCTGTGACTATTGGTTTACATTTCTGATTTTCGGCCATGAGTCATGGTGCACTCCTATAATCCCAATATTTGGGAGGCTGGGAAAGAGGATCATGAGTTCCAGGGCAGGCTGGGCCACATGGTGAGTTCAAGGTCAGCATGAACTACACAGTAAGACCCTGCCTAGAATTTCTAAGAGTAAGAGATTAGTCAGTCTACTTTGAGTCAGATGTCTACCTGTAGATCAGGGTGATGAAGCTAGGGATCCTCATGTGGTATGGGTTCCATGTCTGTGTATTGACTATTTTCCCAAAGGGAGAGTAGTTCTGAGCTGCACACCACTGAAGTTGGAACCTGTTCGATTTCTAGCATGGACATGAAACCATTTATACGACTTTGGCTATATATTATGATTGGATGGGAAGAGTCAGTGACTATGGGGAAAATTCAGCATGGAGCTATCATTTGTTTCCATCAACCTAATCAAGTTTGCAGAATGGTGGTGTGAGTTGACTGGGACTATAGACACAAAATGCCCGATGTATGCCAACTCAGAAGGTGAGTTGATGACTGCCTGTGAAGAGCAGTCACCACTAGCAGTAGTTCAATAATTTGTTAAACTGATGTCACTGTGGTATTCTTATGGAAATGGGATTAGGGTATTTTTGCATGCAAGACTTACATTCAGATCTCTGAAGTATTCATTATAATCTAAGGCGTATCCCACCACAAATAAATTTGGAATTTCAAATCCAGCATCTTAGCAAAGAGAAAGAAAAAAAAAAAAAAGATTACATTAAGACTACTACTACCATATACTTTTCTTGGTATTCAAACTGAGAACTTTTCATTTAGGCAGAAGGAAGAAAGAAAAATAGTATGAAATGCACAGGATAGGCCCATGGGGACTAGGCCAGAATGACTACTGGGACACACAAAGAAAACAAGCAACCGTACATAGGAATGACGGGACTCCTAGTAGAGTTGAAAATGGACTCAGGAGGCTCAGCAGATAACAAGAAGCGTGCATGAATCAGTCACATGGCCTTGTTGTGCCATGGCAAGCGGCATGCCGTGACATGATGTCCAAGAGAATGCTCCGGAAAGCATAAAGCACTGTTCAAACAGAAGGCCTTAGAGAACAGAAGGCATGAGAGAACTGCACCTGACACATAGGGGTGCAGGCTGCAGCAGCTAGGAAGCAGTTTTTCCCTGCATCAGTGTTCCCAGCTGGGTGCAGGCTGGAAAGCAAAGCCAGGCAGACAAAATGAGAGGAAACAGCATTGTGCAGCTTGAGGAGGAGAACACCAAGTGTTATTTTAATGCTGGGCTTGAAATCCACAGTGCAGAGGACATTAATTAGCTCTTTCTATTGAGCACAGAATTTGAGGAGGTGAATTTAAATGTATCACAAGGTAATTAGCAGAAGGCTTTATTGAAAGAAAAACTTTTTATGGAAGAGGACCCTAAGCATCAGGTAGCAGCTCTCCTTCTGTGGTCTTGCAACAGAAATTGCATGCCACGATGCAATGATTTTTACACTATTTTCTGTGTTTTAGAATTTTATTTTAGTCTTCTAGAGGAGATGAGCTTGCCTGCTTTCATGGAACTGTCCTTTTAGGCAGTGGGCTCAGTGCATGTGCAGCTATGTCCATGGAGACTGTGTCTCCCTGTTCTACCCCGTGACAAAGCACTGTCATATGGAGAAACCAGCGGACTTGACCTTACAGAACATGCTAGGGGTGAGGAACCGGTTTTCTCAGGAATCGCATTATGGGCTTACTGGTCAGAAAACCTGCTTTATTCCTCCAAGTGGCAGAGTTTCTTGAGAAAACATAATCAAAGAGGAGACACAAGAGCAAAAGAAAAGACATCAGAAGTTATGTTTAGCATATAAGAGTCAGTGATGAGAAAGGGACTAAAAGGGCAACGCTTCATAAATCCAGAGAGAAAAAAAACAACCAAAAAACAGATGCCAGGCCCGCTAATGAATATGGGTAAATCCCAGCAACCCAGGTTGTGATAGCAGTGACTGCACAAGGAGCCATGCAATTCCTGCAAGGGGTGCGGCAGACTGAGAACATTAGAGCCCAGAGACAGCTTAGGAAGCCACATCTTGTGATAGCAGGAATATAAGAAGGACAGTGGATTAGTAGGACACTCAGAAGTGTGAAGGACCTATCGCTCACTGGTAAAGACGTGCCACTCCTACACTAACACTTGCAGTTGATGTTACCCGGTAGACTGACTAGGTTGGATCCTGCCTGGCCCTATGCTATGGCTGTGTGGCCCTGCCCTGGCAACCTACATAACCTGGGTGTCTTCCATTTCTTCATCTGTTAAGTAGGCATAACAATTAACAGCTATATTTAGAGAACTGTTGTGAGGATGAAATTAGGTAATCTCTCGGTTGCTCCCAGAACAGTGCCTGACACATCGTGCTAGTGTTGCACGTCCGTGCTCTTATTATTTTATTTTATTTGTTGGGGTACTGGGGATAAAACCCAGTGGCTCCCAACAGCTCTACTGCTGAGCTATAGTCCTAGCCCCAGCTGCTGTTATTTTGTTTTTGTTGTACATGACGTAAGAAACTTGTAATTAATTAGATATTTTTTAAGTGATTGTTTTTCAATTTCAGCTAAAGCCTTACCTATGTATTATGTAGTGAGTATCTTTTTTTTTTTTTTTTTTGCGGTACTGGGGATTGAACTCAGGACCTTGTGCTTGTCAAGCAAGCACTTACGCCACTGAGCTGTCTCCCTGGCCCTATAGTGAGTATCTCATACTATTTCCTTACAACATTTCTGTTTAGTAACCTCTCATAACCTTGACACTCACCTTTGATTTCCTAAGTCAGTAGCCAATAGGAACACATTACTGGGTCTAACTGCCCACAACTGACACCTTCTAGACTCCTTACACCTTGCAGAGGAATGAGACTTGTTTTTAGAACGGAGAGTCACTGGTGTGTGACCCATCCATACTGTGTCTGTCTCTAATGTTTGTTCAGCTTGATTATGAGAACTGTGGCCAAAGTATCCCAGAAGCTTTAGAGCAAATGTAAGTTATACAAATCAAGCTGAAGTCTGCCTTATGCAAGTAAAAAAAAAAAAAAAAAAAAAAATGCCTCTAGTGTTAGAAAAATAAATAATTGGGCTGCTTGTTTATTTCTTCTGTCGTTAGAACGAATCCCACACCAGGGAAGCAGGGAATGGGTTCTCCGTGAGGATTGCCCTCCAGAGCAGGGAGGAAGGCTCTAGAGATAAGTGTTCTGCTCCTGGCTGGGGTTTCTGGATGGTGGACTGTACACTCTTTGGGTTCTCCCTTCTGGGCCTTAAGATTCAGACTTGTTGAACTTTCCATTACACACGGTGTGGTAACACATTGTGAAGGCGCCATCCACACCTGCGCAGCACCTCTGTGATTGGTGGGAAAGGGGTCAGGCAGGGACTAAAGGGTCCGAATCAGGCCAGCAGGGTAAGTCTTCCTCTACCCAAAACGGATCAGCTAGGGCCCTTTGCAGTTAAGGTGTGCAGAAAGCCAAACAATAACAGCTAATGCACAGGATAGAAGTCTGTGCTAGGTGCATGCTACGAGGTTGAAGAGCCTCAAGTTTAACAGAGCTGATGAGTCTGAAGGATCATCTTATATAGTTCCCAGTACACAGGGAAACCAATCATCCTTAAGCAGAAAACAAGACACTAGCACAGAAAAGAAAAATGAAAACCTTACTTACAGTCAGGTTTGAAGCCATCACTCCTTGGTGTTCTCTTTACCAACAAACTGTCAAAAAAAAAAAAAAAAAAAAAAAGGGGCTGGAGAGATGGCTCAGTGGTCTAAAGCACCTACTTGAAACAAGCTTAGCAAAGCACAGGGAAATGATTGTAATCAATTTGTTATTGTATTTGAGCATCCTCTGAGGATTAGGCAAGGCATTTTAGTACTAAAAAAAAAAAAAAAAAAAAGGATTCTTGTAGTCATTCACATCAATGTAATTACAAATAGAATTAAACATCACTGAGGTGCATGCTTTCTCCCTTGAGCGGGGAGAGAACTGTCACATCCCCTTTTAAGTCCTGCCCTCATTACTGTGCCAGTGCATTGGGACGCAAGGAAGGGAGCTGAGCAAGGGCTCAGGGCTCATCCAGCTGCCCCTACAGATGCTCCCACGGGCAGCCAGGAGGAGCTCAGACACAGGCAGCGCTCCCCCCCGCCCCCATCCTCTCTGAGCTAACAGTCAAAGGGCTATTTTGCAGTGTGGCTAAGCCATATCCCCGCAGGGGAAAGACTCAGTGGTGGCAACAGACAATACTGTTTGGGAGGAGCCTCTTGGGTTAGAAGCTTCCTGCCCTTGTGAAGGCGAATAGAACTTACTATGCTATATATGAATGCCCCACTTACCTGGCTACCTTTATCATGTTGGGCTTATGTTTCTCAATGCTGCTGAGCAGGGCTCTCATGGTCTTCCCAGTCCCCACAAGATCCTTTGCAAAAATACAGACAGGTTCAGCAAAACATACTTGTGTAGCATCACAGCTTTTTCATGCAGAGAGATCCTCCTTATTAATAATGGATTTTAATTGCAAATGGCATCTCATGGGGTCAAAGAAAAAAAAAAAAACAGAGCCAGTTCTATTTTCTTATGTTCTTCTTGGGAGCCTTGTTTCAGGGCATGTACTGGTGATTTTTTTTTTTTTTTTTTTTTTTCTCGTATGCTGGAGCGGTGTGGAAGGACTAATTCAGCCTTTCAAGAGCATGTGGGGCTCCTTCTCTTCGAGCACACTGGGACTCGTGCATGCACATTCAGGGATGAAATTTGGCCCTGAGGTTAAGTAACACAATATGAGATGCATGAATTTTCATGGACATGGGACACACATCTGAATACAGTGAATGGATAAGCACCTCCCCCGATATTCCCCACTTAATAGGGAGTCTATGGCTGGGGAGTGAGAGGTGTCTGGGCAGCAGCTGGGAAGAGCCCATGAGTTCTAGGGGTCCAGGGCTGCTGTGAACTCAGGCTCCCCTCCACTGATGAGCGGCAGCACAATTAGAGCAGAAAGGGCCTCCGCCATTCATTGTCTGTGGACAGAAATCAGCTGTCAGGAGCTGATTATCAACACAAGAGGTCTGAATTTAGCCTGTGTAGGGCAGTTTGTTTGGCTGGAAGGTCTGTGATACGGGTTACATGGAGCCAGAGCTGCAGATACCCCAGGCACACACAGGCAATTGCGGAACAAAAGCCCAGGGTTGGCTCCCCTGAATTTTCCCCTGCTGGTCAGACAGTCCTCTTCCAGAACGAAAGGTGGCTGCCTGCTGCGTCCATGCGCAGGGCCATGTGGCTCATTCCTTTTTCTTTTACTTTCTTGTAACAAAAAAAAAGAAAAAAGAAAAAAAGAAAGAAAGAAAGAAAGAAAGAAAGAAAGAGTTCCCTTAGATTGCCATTTAAAAAACTGATTGTAGTTATGATTTTGATAAAGTACTTAAGTGAGAATTAAAGTTACTAAAATACTTAGCAAAGACACTGAATTTAGGGCAAGGACAATTCTAACCTTGGTTTTTACTCTTAAATGAAATTGGCTCTTGAGGCTAGCTTACCATTCTTCATAGTTGTCTGAGTGTCATGTTGGTAAAGAACCTTAAGTATAAGAACCAACTAAGCTCTTTGTGAAACAGGATGTAAGACAGGAAAAAGGATCATACAACCATTGTTGCAAAGCTTTGATATTAAATTATTTGAGGCTAGGGAGTATAGTTAGCTTCTATTCAATAAATTTGGAGAGTCAGGCACACAGTGGGAACTCAGTAAATCCTTGGCCAATTCAGTCACAAGCTCTACATTTTAAAACTCACTGTTTGATTCTTCCAACATCCAAGTATGGCAAAGGAAAAGCCAGCTTACCTCCACAATGAGGACATTCTGAAATAAACAGAGCCCATATTTTAGAATATGATGAAAATCTGGCTCACAAGATCATACACATTTTGCTCATAATTAAAATTTCATAATTTTCTTATCTGGTCCTGCTCCATCCATCTTATCCAAATGACTGGAGGCTAATCTAAATATTTCAGATTAATTTTACAAGTCTTTGTAGGGACCAGGGAGATAGCTCAACAGCTTAATCACCTGCCTGGCAAGTACAAGGTCCTGGGTTTGATCCCCAGTACCAAAAAAGAGAAAGCAAGCAAGAAAGAAGAAAAGTCTTTGTGGAGCTGCTTGATATTGCAACTTCAGTATCTGTATACATGTTAGGAGCAGACTGTGTCTGAAGAACCAGGAATAGACATTCCACCTTGATAACTGCAGCACTGGCCTGCCCTCTGGTTCTTCAGGATGCAAAAGCTTACTATGTGTTCATAGGAAAATAAGCCACCAAAAACTGTACCACCAAGGGAGACAGTGGTCTGTAGATGAATCATGCATTCTGCTGTGATGTATTCCCTGGGGATTCAGTATTTACTTCTGGGTTTTGATCCTGAGGCAAGGGTGGGCTAGAGAAAGAACTCGGAGGGGCCCAGTGTCTAGTGATGTGGTTAGGTCCTGCACACTTAGAAAGTATCGCTCTACTTCTTCCCTTAGCGCACTCATTGAGTGTCTTTCTTTTGCTGTTTTTCTTTTTCTTTTTCTTTCTTTTTTTTTTTTTTCTCTTGTCTTTTGAGACAGGGTCTCGGCTGTGCAATTCAGGCAGGCCTTGAGCTCACTTTGTAGCCCTTGCTGGTCTCTAACTTGCAATGATCCACCTGTCTCTGCCTCTTGGGTGCTGGGATTCTAGGCATGCACCCCCACACCCTTCCTCACAGGTTATGTTTCATGTTAATTTCTTTTTGATATCTGTCTTCTCTGCTAGCTTTTAAATTGAAGGAGTACGGATTAGATTTGTCTTGCTTACTATTGTATTTCCAGAATGTTTGTAGATAGATGCTCAATTACTTGATGAATGAAGGAAATATGACTAAGCTTAGTAATTCATTAAAGTCAACCAATTAACTGGATTCATAGTAATGTCTTAATGTTATCCCACCAAACTAAACTCAGATGTTGTTAGTATGTCATTCTGATTAACTACAGAATAAGAGTATTCGCTCAAAGTAATGTCATTTTTCTCTCTTTAGAAAATTTTTAATTTATCTGTGTGACTTTTATAAAACTTTAAAATTGGATGAAACCTTATAAGTAGATATATTACTTATGTCTAATGCAAAAGAGACTTAACTAATAAAAATACCGGGCTGGCAAGATATCTCAGTAGATTATAGCTCCTGCTTAGGCAGACGCAGGGGTCCGGAGTTCAAGTCTCCACTCACCTGCCATGCCGGCCCCACCCCTTGGGGTGTGCTGAGACACACTGAGACTGGGCATGGTGGCGCATGCCTATAATCCCAGCACTTGGGAGGCTGAAAACAGGAGGATCACTATGAGTGTAATCTGTGTAGTGAAGACCTGTAGGCACTGTGCTAAATACATTAAAAAAAAAAAAAAAAAAAAAGGCCAACCAGTTACTTCCTAGTCAACTAACAACACTGCTAAATCTGTACCACATATCAAACACATTCTTCCATAGAAACGCCCGTCTTGAAGGTTTTTCTCTCAGATAAGATGTTTTGATTCCTAAACCCACTAAACACTTTATCATAAAGATATATTTATCCAGTCCACCTCTGAAGCAAGTCATGCTGCTGTACCCTCTAAGAATCACACTGAGAGCGGAGTCCTCTTGGTGTGGGGGACACTCAGCCAGGGCCATAGGCATCAACCCGTAGTAGTTAGTTGGGATGTGTACTTTTGGTTTCATTAAGACTCACTGGCCATGCCTCTTACCCGAGGAGAATAATTGGAGAATGTTATGGTTACTGTAACGTCCTTGTTCACAATTTCCTTTGGTTTTAATTTTGTGAAGGACAACTTTGCTAAAATATGGTAGTCGGCATTCATGTCTACCTAGAGTGAACTGAAAATAGTTAAAGCTGTTTTTTTTATTTTTACAGTTCAAAACTTTGCAAAACAGTCATCTTTGAAAAAATTAGCTCCAATTTGATGAAACCATGGTGGGTGGAAAATGGGGTTTGGATGTGTACTGACCCTGAGGTATGACAGCAGAACTGCTCAGATACACTAGAAGAATGGAAGGCTGTAAGAAAACTCTCCCTTTCACTTCATGTCTTCTCATTCCAGTTTTACTCCCTAGAGGCAAGCACTTTTAGCTGCTTTTCTTGTTATTTCTATACTTCTGAAAAACTAGTTAGCTGGGCATGGTGGTGCACACCTGTAATCCCAGCATGTGGGAGGCTGAGGCAGGAGGATCACTTTGAGTTCTAGGCCAGCCTGAGCTACAAAGTGAGTTTAAGGTCATCCTGAACTCCATATTGAAATCCTGCCTCAAAAAGACAAAACTAATAATAATAATAATAATAATAATAATAACAACAACAACAACAACAACAACAACATGTTTTGTATAGCTAGCTATTTGTTTTGAAGCATATTTAAATCATTTTCTGATTTTTTTTTTTTTTCCCGGAACCAGGGATTGAACTCAGAGACGCGCTTATTCCACTGAGCCATCTTCCCAGCCCCCATTTACTGATTTTTTAAGGTTTCTTCTTCTTAGAGGTTTTCAAGTATAAACATATACTTTTATTTCAGTAAAAATGTATTTTATTATATATGTATACTTATTAAAGACAATACTTTTTATAATATATAGATGCAAAGAATTAAAGAATGTTTAAAAAACAAAGTCTAAGGATTCTCTAACATTTTGGGGGAGGGTCAGGATTGTACTCAGGCTTTATGCACGCCAGCTAGGTGCTCTGCCACTGAGTCATTCCCCCAGCCTTAAGATTTCCTAAATTTTTGATGTATTAGCTATTTAAAGATTTTTAAAAATTTTATATTCCTTACAATACAGATATCACATTAAGCCTAGCTAAAACATTACCACAACTAATACAAATGACAATTTCTTAGTATCATCTAAGATTGCCGAGGATATAGCTCGGTGACACAAGCATTTGCCTGGTAAGTGCAATGTCCTGAGTTTGACTCCTAGTACCAAACCCCAAACGAAAATGTACTATATATATTCAGATTTCCCCAGTTGCCCTTCAATGAGCATTGTAGTTTGCCCAACTTGTGACTGGATACTGGCTCCCACTATGGTTCGGATGTGCTGTTCAACAGATGCATGTGGAAACTGAGTCCCCAAAGCAAAAATGGGGCCTAACAAGAGATAAGTAGGTCACAGGGCTCTGCTCTTGGGAATGGATTATTGTCCCTGTAAGCAGAGAGGGCCTGTGTAAACACAGATTCAGTCCCCTTTGCCATCTCATTCTTGTCCCACATTGAGTGAGGGATGACACAGCAGGAAGGCTCAAGAGGAGAGAAGGCCGAAATCTCAACTCTGGCAGTGTGGTCGCTGGTGCCTGAGGAGCTAATGTCTTCTTAATTTTATGTATCTTGTGCAGGGTCTCACTACACAGATTGGACTCATAGTGATTCTACAGTTTTCAGCCTGCTCAGCACTGGGATTACAGGCGTGCACCACTACACCTGGTCTCGGTGGCCAGTGGCCAGCTCAGCATGCCTGGGGCAAGGGCTGGCACATTATGTGGTGGTGGGGATCAGACCCAGGTACCTGCACCTGCCCAAGGAGGTGTTTAGTCTGCTGAGCTATCTGCTGGCCAGGAGCTGTCTTTAATGTATAAAGCTTAGGTCCAGGAATCATAGAGACCAGCATATAATAGGTATTCAAGAAGTGCCTGTGGACTGAAGTAACAAGGCTAACTTCATTTCTTTCACTTTCTCTAGATCATTATACTGTTGATACATCAGCTCCATCTTTACTTAATGATCTGCAATTTTGCCTTTACCATGCTGCAATTAAGGTCTATTTGCTTTTTAATTCTGCCCTAAACACTCTTCTAAAATCCCCCCCACCCCCTTTTGAGCAGGCAACTTTGGGGTTTTTCTTCAGAACACACTGTGCTGTGGAGACATTTCCAATCTGATAACCCTGATCCCCGACTCTGAGGCCTTGCCAGCTGCTGTCTTGGTTGTCTGCTTGCACCCAGCTCACTTCCTCCCGAGCCAGTAAAGTCTGCAGCCTGGGGGCCGCAGGCGGAAACTCTCCGGGGACTTTCTAGAGTGTTCTTTCCTTGCTCTTGCGCAATTCCAAGCAAGGCTAGTCACACTGAATTTTCTAGTGAAAAGGAAGGCAAGAAAGATGAAAAGAAGGCAGAAGAGGATTATAAAATCTCAATGATTTTCTTAGGTAGACTATTCCCACTTTTAATCTTTTAAAGCACAAAATGGTTAGTACACCTTCCTGTCTTATCTGCCACGGTCACTCTAAGCAGGAGGACGGCCTTCAAGACAATGAACTGTATGGTGCATGCCCAGCGGGAGCAGGAGTGTGAATATAAACCCCACGGAGAAAGGAATAAAATTCGGCATTTCGTTTTATGTGATAATTCACAAAATTGCCAGAATCATCAGTCAGTAGGCATTTCCATGACTGTTCTCAGCCTTGTCAGATGCAATAAAAAGGAATGATTTAAACAGCTAAGGCAGCCAAGGGAGAACTTCTGGCAGGTTCAGATGCTCCGTGCTGGCGTTGGACGAGGAACGAGTCTGGGAGCGGCCGGCTGGGGTGGGGGCGGCTCCTGAGATCTTGCGCGCGCCCTGCACATCTGTGTTTCCTCGCTGCCAGATTCCGGCCTGTTTCTATGCACTTGGTTTTATTCCACCCTTTCAGAAGTTTCTATTGAACATGAATAAAATCTTCTTGCTCTAATGGATACACACATTTTATGAAGTGCCAGGATTAAATCAACTTTGAAAAAAATCACCCCGAGAGCACGTTGTGCAGACAGTTTAAACACACAGGGCAAAATGCTTTTAACAGTGCGAGCCGGGAG